TCCATTTAACTTTACAAAAACCATGGCTTCAGGCAGAATGTCACTGAAGCCCACAGAGAGGGCATGCTGTGGTTCCCCACCGAGATCCCCTTTACCCTGCTGGTGGACCTACCCCCCAGCTACTGAGTGTTGTCTGCTAAGGGCTCTAGTTGCCTTCTTTTCCTGCCTACTGCCTTCATCCAAGCAATGGCTGCCTTGCTTTAGGGATTACACACAAACACTCCATTCAATCAGAACAGCCTTTCACTAATGACCGAGTGAAACGGAACTGCCCTTTGCCAAAGAGAAGGTACAGTTCTGTGGTGCAAATTGTGCTAAAGACTGCAGCAGATCAGCTGGAAGCTGACATGTACCTGAAGCTCCGTCTTTGCTCTACTGTTTTGCTCCTTCCTACCTGACTCATTTTCATTCTCCTAGGAGTATTCTCTCAGTTCCACAAGTCCTCCATCTCAGGCTCAGCTTCCAGGAACCCCCACTGACAATGACTACAGCATGTGGTTAAGGGATAGAAAAGGGATTTCCCTCCTTTATTAATATCATCTTGCAGTTCTGGTATCTGGGCAGGTTTTGTATAATAGAAGTGGATTCTGATATTGTAAAGGGGTACCCACCAGGCTGTGGGGGAAATAGCTGGCTGAGCAGTGGTGATGGCTAGGATGTTGAAAATTTTTCAATGCTCCTTGTGAGGCACCCTTGTGACTATCAGATGTAACTGGTCAAGGCTTGGAGAAAAGCGGGAGGCAAGAGGTCTAGAGTGGGAGAGAAAATAAATTAATGACATTGGAATTTTTCATGTTAACCCAGTGAGTCCAATAAAGCTTGGACTGTCTTTTCCCAGTGACTTTGTCATGAACACGTCTATATGCTTCTCTGTGCAAGTTTTAATGATGAAGGCACATGGCAACATTTAATATTTCAATGTTCATAGAGGTCTCCAGGTCTCTATGGGGGTGGGGTAGGCTCAGCATACACCTGCAGAATTAACAGTATCTGGTCTGCTCCTAAGGAGTGATTCAGTATGGGTCCTCTAATTCACACCCCCCAAATCTTTGCCAGATCAATTTTCTGAAAATTAATTCTTATCTTGCTACTGTTCTGATTAAATCTTTCCCTCCTTCAAGTCTATCTCTGTTGGGTCAAATGACAGAAATTCCCACTTTTTAAAGGCTATACAGTGTTTCATTGTGATTATGTATCATACTTTGCCAATTCCCCTGTTGATGAACACTTATGTTGCTTCCACATTGTATATTTTGGACATCATGAACAATATGGAAATGGATATGGGCACTCAAATGTCTCTTCAACATATGATTTTCATTACCTTGGGTATATACTCAGAAACCGATAAATACTGCAGTTACCAAGGCTTTGGAGTGCTCGGAAGAGGGATGAAAAATGGGACCGACCAAGAGTACAAAGTTTTAGTTAGATGGAATGTTATGACTTAGTGTGCCATTGCATTGTGTGGTGACCACAGTCAATCATAATGTATTGTAGTTTGCAAAATTGCTGAAATAGATTTTTAATGTTCTCATTACGAAGCAATGATAACTTGGCGAAGTGATGAATATATTAATTAGCTTGATTGCATCTTTCTATAATGTACACATCAATTAAAGTATCACATGATACCCCCATAAATACATACAATTATTTGTCAATTGAAGATAAACAAATTGCTTTAAAAAATCATTTGCTTACCTTTGACTACAGCTTAAAACTGAAACTACCTAACATGATATGAGTGACATTTTGCTTATTGTTTATTTATTTATAAGTATTTTTACATTGTGTGTGTGTGTGTGTGTGTGTGTGTGTGCAGTTATGCTACAGCATGTACGTGGAGGCCAGAGCAAGACTTGCAGAAGTCAGTTCTCTCCTCCCACAATCTGGGTTGCAGAGATGGAACTCAGTTCTTTAGGCTGGGCAGAAAGCACCTTTACCTGCAATCATCTCACCAGCTCCATAAACAGCATTTTATGACCCAGTTCCTGTTGTTCTCCTAGCCTACTTCTTCTTTGGTTTCTGTTGGGTATAGAGGGGCTACTGGGTGTTTTCTGAGCAGGCCAGGAGTCTTGCCCTAGTGGGCATGCAGGTAATGGCCCTTCATGTTCTAAAGCTGGCAAACTTCTAATGATCTTGCCATCATCCTCATCTTTTCCATCACCTCCTCCTTTTCATGGAGTGTCTCCTGCTTATGTCAATTCATTTCTTCCTCCGGATATATTTGGTGCTCATTCTATTTATGCTGGGCACACAGGGCACATTGAAAATACATCAGTCTTAGGAAGTGTTTAATGGATGAATGAATTAGAATGCATAATTCTTGTAGATAAACTGCCTAAATTCTGAAAGCAAGCATCATAAGCAAGCAAAAACAAGATGGTTCCGGAACACTGAGTCCAACAGGGCTTCTGAGGACATTGTGACACACTCACTTTTTTATTCATGGAACAACCACATTTATTGTTATTTCAAAGAGCTGTTGTGCATTGAATATGCCTCATTGATGTTAGTTATAGAGTCTCTGACCTGAAGAGTTTAGGAAAGCTTTTTTTAAATCTTTGGAGCAATATGTCATATGAAAATTTCAATTCAGGACAATGCTGTGGGAACCTCTAGCTGTTTCACTTCAGGATTCTAAAATAGTTTGCTTACCCATGAGGGGTGTAATGGGGTAAAGTCAGTGTTTATCAACAATGATTATAGTCTGAAAATGGCTCTTGGGTTGAACATTTCTTAAAACAAAGGAGACTGGCCATGTACAACCAGCATCAAATCAACAAAGCTGGATGATCAGTGGAGAAGCACAAAATTCCGTGAATAAAGGGAGGCAGGTGACTTTTCTAATTATCTCTACAGCGCTCTGATTTTTGTGTGTGCGAGAATCACTTGTGGCGCTTGATATAAATGTTTGTGTCTAAGTTTAAGCACCCAGAAACATTCTGATTAAGTAAGAATGAATGGGCAAAGGATCATGCATCTGAAACAAACACATGTGTCTCTGCCATTCAGGAGGAACCTGCAGCCCACTTTCAGTACACATTGACTGACCCAGCTATTCTTCAATCACAAAAGTTGTATTAAAAAAGTGAGAAAAAGGGCTGGAGAGATGACTCAGCAGTTCAGAGCACTGGCTGCTCTTGCAGAGGACCCAGGTTTGAATCCCAGCACCCATAGGGTGGCTAGCAATCACCTGTAACTCCAGTTCCAGGGGATCCAATGCCCTCTTCTGTCCTCTGCAGGCACTGCACTACATGGGTGCACTTACATATATGCAGGCATATCATTCATACACATATAATAAAAATAAATTTTTAAAAAGTGAGATGAAAGGAACCTGCTATCGCCTCCTCACATAAGGCAGTGCCTGTGTGAAGTGAGCACAGGCCAGCTCTGCATCAGTCATCCCATTCTCTCTCTCATATGGATCCTCAGCTCATTTCCCTGTATCACTTCCTTGGTTAAATGCATTTCTGTATGTTTTAGTATTTTGTTTTGGGGGCTCATGCAAATGGGATCACTGCCTTGGTGTCTTTTTGGAGTAAGTCACTACTGATACAAGGAAACACAACAACTTTGGGCGTTGATTTTCAGTTCTGCAAATTCCCTGAACTCATACTTTGTTTCCCCAAGCATTTCTTTTGAAAGGAGTCATTAGGGGGTTGGGGAGATGGCTCAGTAAAGTGCTTGTCTTACAAGAATGAAGACCCAAATTCAATCCCCAGAAACAATGTTTTAAAAAAGCAATAGATGGTGGTATGAGTTTGTAATCTCAGAGTTGAGAAGGCAGAGCCTGGGGCTCCCTGACCAATTAGCCATGTGTCTTTGGTGAGATCCAGGTCAGTGAGAGAGACTGTCTCAAAAAACAAGGAGAATGATTCCTGTAGAACGATACCCTACAGTTTTCTTTAGACTCTACACATGTGCATACACTTACAAGAGCATCTGCCCTGCCACAGGAGCCATTACGGGTTTATACATACAAGACTTTGTAATCTGAAAATAGGGATAGTTTCAATTGTTTCCTTCTGATTTGAGTGACTTTTTTCCTTATGTGATTGCTCCTGCTGGTACATCCAAGACTCTGCTGAATAGACATAGGAAAACAATAAACTTTCTTACTTTTCATTAGCTCTTGGAGAAAGTTTCTCTTTTAACTATGATGCTAGCTGTGGACCGTTATATGTAGTCTTTATTGTGTTGAAGTACATTCCTTCTATAGCTAATTTGTCAAGTATTTTTATCATGAAAGATGCTGAATTTTGTCAAATGCCTAGTCATTTTATTGAAATGACATGTGTTTTTTAAATCATTCATTCTTCTACTGTAGCATAACACATTTGATTTTTATATACAAAAGCAACTTTGTATCCAAGAGATAAACTCTATTTGATCATGATGTGTAATCTGTAGGATGTGTTATTGAATTTGTAATCCCTAATATTTATTGAAATCCTGTGGCATTTTCCACAGAAATAGAGAAAATAACCTAACCTACCAACCACTAATGACCTTGGCTATTCAAAGCACTACTGAAAAAGGAAGGCAAGTTAGAGCTAGCTCACTGGCTCACTTCAAAGCAGATCACAAAGCTATGAAAATAACAGTACCATACTGGCCTGAAACAAACAGACCAAAAGAACTAATTTTATTTTGGTTCTTAAAATTATTCATTTAATTTTTTTGAGGGGTTCAGCTTTATTTCACTGGAGGTGGGGGGGGTGCCATTGGACAGAGAGAGGCGAAGACCTGACCCCAGAGGGTAATGGCATGTGTAGGGAAACTGAATCTGGAGGTACAAGCCCCCCTCCCACTGGGCTGCACCCCATGTTCCCCCTTTAGGGCCTTAGTCCCTCTTGTTTGTTGGGGTGTGTGATCCTCAATCCTTGCTGTCCCGACCCAGAGGAGGGGGCTGGGGCAGAGAGGGCAGTGGACAGGGAGCCTAGGGGACTTACAGAGTGCAGGGCAGGGTCTACGGTGCAAAAAGGGGGTGGTCAGTTTCTGATAGCAACGACCACAGAGAGAGCCACGCCCTCCATGGCCAAGGCAGTTGCCTCAAACAGCCACTTCCACAGGATGGACCGGGTCCCTTTTCCAGGATACTTAGCAGGCAGCCGGCACTGGTTGTCCAGCGTCTTCTGGTATACTGCAGTCTCTGAGATCGTTTTGCAGCATGCTTCTTCACCAGCTTCGAGAGTTCCGAGTGGATTGCCTTGTTGGAAGGCTCCAGCTTCAGGGCGGCCCTCAGGATGGGGATGGCCTCACTGTGCTCACCCTGCTGAGCCAGCACCTTGCCCTTGCGGAGCCTTGATGTGTCTCGCTGTTGCTCCAACACCAGGCTGCAGGAGCCCAGCGCCATGCGGTGGTGGTCCAGCTTCAGCTGTGATGCCCACAGGTTGTTCAAACGCTTCACCTTGAACTGCATCAGCTACTCCTCCTCCTCAAAGGACGTGTCCACTTTGGTGCTGAAGGTGATGGCCTTGATGGCCAGGTCATAGGAGTTGGCAGCCAGCACAAAGTCAGCCTGCTGGTAGTGGGCGTTGGCAACTTCCTCTTCCAGTTGGCCAGGGCCACACGCTCCTGGCTGCTCAGCAGCTCCAGGTCAGGGCCATCCTCAGCCGTCTTCAGGGTGACCCCCAGGCACAGGGCTGCATGCGGAGGTGGGGCGGAGGGGTGTGGGGGGGTGACACATGGGCTCCTGATGCCCTGGGGGCCATAGCAATACTTAAAGACAGCAGTCACCACGGCCACCTCACCCACATCCATGAGCAGAACGCTGAGGTCCAAGGCCTGGATAACATCGCAGTCTCCCAGCATGAAGGACAGCTCTGGCTCCTCCTGCACACTTACCAGGGACATCTGCAGGTGCACAGTCACCACCTGGTCTTTGAGTGGGCAGCGGAGCCCTGTGGCCCCAGACTAGTGTCTTCTTCCTCAGGAGTCCATTCCCAAGGATGTCCAGTCTGCTGGGGCTGGCTCAGGCTCTGTGGTTGCCAGGAACTCCGGAGCCAGAACTCCTGGCTTCTCAGCCTCCTCCAGTGTCAGCTGTCCTATGTCCTCCAGTGGTGGCAGCCTGCTCAGATCACTGTCCTCTTCATCCTTTTCTTCCTCCCCATAAGCATCTTCAACCCCATCCAACACCTGAAAGTCCTCCAGTGGTCTTACCCCAGCAGGAGGCTGAGTAGCAGGCTCCTAGGGCTCAGCCCAGGATGCCATGCTGCTTGGAGGTTAGGAACTGGCCCTACTGCTCAGGGGACTCTGCCTTATTTATTTATTTTTTATGTGTATGAGTGTTTTACCTATATGTATATATGTGTGCCACATGCATGCAGTGCTCATGGAGGTCATATCCCCTGGAACTGGAGTTACACATGGTTGTGAGCTACTACTATATGTGTGCTGGAAAGTGAATACCAGTCCTCTGTGCTCTTAACCACTGAGTCATCTCTGCAGCCTCTCATCAACTACCTTTTAACATGGTGCTAAGAAGTTACAGTGGAGAAAGGAAGGGCAACCTTTTAAAGAAATGGTATTGAGAAAATTGCATATACACACGCAAAAAACTGAAAAGCCAAAATGTATTTGATTCCTAAATGTTAGACTCCCAGTGAAACTTCTAGAAAGAAATAAGAGAAAAGTACCATAACTTTAATGTCAGCTTTATTTATTAATTTATTATTTGTATCTATTTGATGGTGTTGGACATCAAAATCACAAGCAGCAAAAACAAAAACATGAACCTATAGATTATGAGAAAATAATAGAAAAAAATAGCTTAAAAAATGGCAAATGGTCTGAAAAAACATGACTCCTTAAAAAACATACAAATGACCAAGAAGTATGTAAAACAAGCTGTTTGATGTCACAAACTTTCAAGAAAATTCAAATGAACACCGCATTACTCATTGTTAGATGGCCTTTAGCAAGGATGTTGAGAGAAGTGTGTGCAAAGTGTATAGAGAAAGGAACTCTGCATATTCTTTGTGGAAATATAGTCAGTGCATCTTTAGTGTAAATAGTATAGAAGATTCCTAAAGAAATAGAAACTGGAGGCTAGAGAGCTGGCTCTGCAGTTAAGAGCATACACTTCTCTTGCAGAAGACTTGAATTTGGTTCCCAGCACTCAGATTGGGCAGTTTTCAACTGCTTGTAACTACAGCTCCAGGAGATCCAACACCCTCTTCTGGCCTTCATGGGTACCTGCATTCATGCACACTGCGCCCCCCCCGCAAATACATATGATAAAAATAAAAAAATGAATCTATAAAAGACAAAATGAAAGAAATAAAAATCTGAAAATGGAATTACCTATTGACCCAGCAATCTCTCTCTAGGCTACACATCTGAATGGAATCGAAATCACCATTTGTACAGCTATTTGAGCTCAGGTTTCTTGCAGTGTTTTTCACAGTAGCCAAGAAATGAAAGAAACTAATGTGCTCATCACCTGATGAATTAACAAAAAAAATATTGTGGCAAATACTCATAAGAGAGTACTGCTTAGCCTCAGAAAAGAATATCCTGCATAAGATTGAAGTTTAAGGACATTATATTAAGTGAAATAAGGCAGGCATAGGAAGATAAATACTGCATGATCTCATATGTGGAAACTAAAATAATAAATGCATAGAAAACAAGACTAGAGTGGTAGGTCCAGGGGTCTAGGGGTGGGGGAAATAGAGAGCTATTGTCCATTGTATATAGCTGTTTACATAGAATTGCTGTCTAGTGATACAATTTATACCGTGAAGCCTGTATTAATAATGCTGGATTGTATACAGGGAATTTGTCAACTGTATATTTCAAGTACTGTTGCCAGGGTTCGCTCAGGGTCTCTTGTGCTATCAGACAAACCATATAACATATCTTTATGTACATTTATTATTATCATGGGGAGAGAGAGGGGAGAAACTTACAAAGAAATGAGCACCCAGTGCCTAGCTCAGCGCTGCTCAGCCCTGCACCGCACAGCTCTGTGCCATAGCTCAGAGCCCTCCAACACACCCATAGTCACGGCTAGCCTTTGCCCACACCTCAGGGGCCAGCGGTCTTGCCCCAGGTCCATAAGTGCCAGGCCATTCTGTCCTAGAGTATGCCTGGATGATGCATTTTCCCCGCCTGGCGCCCTGTGTTACTTGCGGCTTGTGGCTTCCATCCCAAGATGGCTCCCAGAAGACCCCCCCCCCCCCCAGTAAGCCACACTCAGGGGCAGGCCCTGCCCCTTGGAGGAACTAGCCAATTGGGAGACACTCCACCCCTTTCCTCCGTTCTTACAATCTTCCCATCAATCTTCCCCTAAGGTCCCTGAGCCTTGGAGGGGGTGACAGATGTTGGGCGATCTCTCTTGTACCATGGCAAGGCAATGGCTTCTTGGGCCTCCCCATTAGTGCCTTGGCCACTGATCTATCTCAGTGGGTTTTTTTTTTTTTTATTACTATAAAGACAAATGGAAGGAAGTAGACACATTTAAACAAACATGAATGTAAATACAAATGCCTAGAGGATATCCCAGTAGGTATACTATATTCATTAAACAGTATACTTGTGATGGCTTCCCCACTAGGGCCTGTAGCCTTTCTCCACACAAGGCATTGGCCTGGTCTACAGCACCAGATGTGTGTTTCACCCCTAAGAGCAGGCCTTATCCAATTAGAAATTTGTCAGTTGTATGTATGTTGGTTGAAACATTATTGCACTTGCAGGCATTGCTCAGCATGTCCACAGTGTGCAGCACATGGGGTCCATTGTTGAGCAGAATCACAGGGCATCCTTTTTTTCCCAACCATCTGCATAGTGCCTTTTGGTGATATGAATGTCATCCATCCAGTGGCATGGAGTTTTTTGGCTTAGCTCAGCTCCATCTCTTCTTCTTTTCCTGTGCTCACAACATGCAGTGTCTTCAGCCAACATGGCCTTACCGACCTTTCAAGCGTACAACTAACATTAATGGCAATAGCCTTGGTGAATTGGAGGACCTCTAAGATCTCTCTGACCAACAGCTCATAGGGGGGCAACCCACCCCTGGTACTATAGATTTTCTTTGGAAGTATTTGTTTTTATCTTACCCAACCATGAAACTCCCAAGAAGAATCTTACAGCTATAGCTGGCCTTTGCTTCTTCAGGTATCTTTCAAATGGCTTTCACATCTGTAAAACACTTGAAGGAAGGTCAACATTGTATATTAAATCAATCAAAGACAAAGTCTCACACGGTATGGAAAGGTTTTGTCCATTTGTGTTAACTGTTTTCTGCATAGATCCTTGTTAAGTACCATAGCATGGGTACGAGGCATTAATTTGGTTAGCTCTTTATAATCTTTAGTTATCCCTTTGGAGTCATTTTGCACTTGGGGGATTTTACATGGAGTCTCTTCATATTCTTTTATTCTTGATACATTTACAGGTGTTGGCTCCAGTTGCCTGACCTTGCACTGGGCCAAGGAGGCAGGGGGCTTCTCCTGTCACCACTGCACTTGTTGGTTCCCTGAGTCAGGCAGGCTCTGGGTCTGCCTCCTGACTGTAGCCATATCTGTCATCTCCCCACTTATCATACCTGGTTGCTGGAGGAGAAAGAACTTAGTGGGAAAAACTGATTCCACCCCTAGTATAGCCTTTATCAGAAGAGAAATGCATCTTATTTAATCCTTGGGGATTCTTAACAACCCCTTGTACAGTTTTTATCCTTTGAATGTCTTTTGTAAACTGTTTTTCTGGGTTTAAAGCCTTCCAGAAATGCCTTAGTACTGAATTTTGTTTTCTATCAAATTTTTCTCGGGGATTTGGGCTTGACATAAGTCTTGCCACATTTGTCTTCAAGTAACCCAAGTGGAACATTTCTTTGGTCTGGTCTTTTTATATCTCTTATAGGTCAGTCTGTTATTTTGCAGAAACGTTTTACATGCTGGTCAGAATCATTTAGATTTGCCAAAGCCTCTCTCACTTTATAAAGATCCTGTCCCATCAAAGGGCTTAGTAAAACCATTAAAGCCCCAAACCATTCTTGAAGTCCCAGTTGAATTAAGCTTTCCTTCATATCTCTGGTGAACACAGTCTTATCCAGCCCAGTGAACAGGGCATCATATATTGCTTTTCTCATACCTAGTTCTCTCAGTAATGTCTGCGCCTCCTTTACATCATGTTAGTCTCCCTTGGTGACGACCATGTATCTTTAATGCCTTCAACCAGCCATCCCATTAAGCACTGTTCCCCCCTGCATTGGCCTAGGTTGAACAGCCTAGATCATAAGGATGGATGGGTGATTATAAAACTCAGCTGTGAAGCTTCTGAAGGACTTAGACTGATGTCATTTGCTCCCATGTCTCATACTTTCACAAGCCATGTGAGGGCTCTCTGCTTGCTTGCGTGTAAGTTTTTTCTAGTTTTAACAGTTCTAGCTTGGAATATTTCCTAACTACAGCACAGTTAGCTTTTTTTCCCCTTTTGTATCAATGGTTGAATCTGATGGGCAGCTTTAGCTACTTTTATTTTTAAGTTATTTTCTTTTTTACTATTATCTGCCTTTTCTTCTGAGTCCTTGGACCTTACACAAGTCAAAGTGCCCTGCTTTTTTCTCATTCAAGATCTGCAACTGGATCTGTCAGGATCTCCCTGGCCTTTTCAGCTTCTCCTTCCTGGGGCACTTCTTTTATTATGCAAAGTGGCCACACTCCCTCTCTGGGTGCTCTGTTTGGGTCCAGAGCAAGTAAAAGATTTTCTAGCTTTAGGATAACTTTTAACAAATCTTCACTTACCTGCAACATACCCCCACATTTACGACGTAGTTGTGGCCCACACTCCTGGGTGGCTGGCCTCTTTTAATAATCCATTGTAAAAACCACATCAGCATCACCATCAGCACTCTAGATTTTTCCAAACTTCCGCAGTTTGTCATTAATGCCATCCTGCAAGCTGCACCAATTTTGTTGCCAGAGTTCTCTTGGGGTCTCTTGCACTATCAGATAAACCATATAACATATTTTTAATGTGCATTTATTATTATCATTGGGAGGAGAGAGAGGAGTAACTTACAAAGAAATGAGCACCCAGTGCCTAGCTCCGTGCCATTCAGCCCTGTGCTGTGCAGCTCTGTGCTGTGGCTCAGAGCCCACCAACACACCCATAGTCACTGCTAGCTTTCACTCATGCCTCAGGGGCCAGCGGTCTCACCCCAGGTCCATGAGTGCCAGGCGTTCCATCCTTGAGTACACCTGGCTGCT